AGACTATCACAATGCAGTATCTTTTAACATTTACAAACACTTTGGGTTTTTTTTTGGGGGGGGGGTGTTATTTCAGGTCTGGGACACTTTAGACATTTTAATTTTGTTTTAAAACAAAGGTTTCAAAATGAGTTTGCCCAAAGTGTGGAAGTAGTTTTCTGACCAGCTCTGCAAGAGATTCCTGGATCTTATCACCGAAAATAGTGTTCAACTCTCAGTAACATCCGTGACCGCTATGGTTGAAGCATGGTGACCACCGCGTTAGAGATGGGATGGGGGAAAGGAAAAAAAGACATCCTTTACTAGAGACAAGGTAGAGATGTGTTATTCTCACAGATTTGCAGGCAGTGCTCTGAACCAGCAGAAAGTCGCATCCCATTCTCATTCTCCTCTGAGACTAGAGGAAGTATTTCTAGACTGCAAGATGCACGAGCACTTTGGTCACTCGGGCAGCAGTACTCGTTTGGAAGGGAATTATGCCTATCCCACTCAATGAGACGGGTGGTATGAGTAGCGTTATGGAATAAGGATGCTTCCAATGACTCCGGGCTGAAAAGGTTTTGCGGGGGCAGGTTGTTGTTTTGTAGGCACAGATTATTGGACTTTGCTTTTCTTCATTTCACATCAGTACTCCCCTCTGAGGCTATACCAGGAAAATTGGACATATAATTCATTCCCAAGGTAGATGTACTAGGAATAAATGACACTATAGTGTAGTCAGCTGCAAGGCTTTTTATTGTCATGCCATCAAGTTAAGCAGTACAAACTCGGGCTTGGGTGGTTTGTTGGTGAAGACAGAGCTCTCTGGTGACTGTAGTGTAATGAGTATTCATACACGACAAGAGAAATGTTAAGTGTGGAGACCGACTTGGGTGATATTTAACGTGTACTATTCACTATAAACATTTTAATGTAGGTTGGGGCCACATTGCTGCCCACTATAATAGTGGTATCAGTCCTATTTGTAATATAATCTATACAAGAGGATTGACAGGAATCCTGCCATCAACATTTTGCATCAAATCCTGTAATCGACTGATATAAGCTAGCCCTGCTCCGAAGTAAATGTTTTTGCACCTAGAAAACTCTTACAGGGACCAGTATTGTGATTGGTGGCAGTTACTAATAGTAAGTCTAAGTCAGATGTACTCTTGATTAGTTTTACAAAGTTGGACACTCCTAAAATTGTGATCTGAGACTTCTATAGCTAATTTACATTTGCAACCCTACTAATTATAGACTGCCTTTCAAAATTTCAAGCTCACCTCTTTAAATGGTATAAATGCTAATGCGGTTAAATAATATCACCAACTAAAAATACCAGTGGCTGTATTTTCAGAAATGGATGTGAAAAATATCAAGGAACAAGGGAAACACAGCTCTGTCTAACCTGCAATTAAACCTGTAGCTCCCTGCAGATGAGCTTTTGGTTAATGAGGTAAACCAACCTGCCTTCATGGCAGGGTTCATGAAAAACAAGCAACAGGGTTGTGGGGTTGGGGCTTTTTTAATTATTATTAAAACTTAATATACAAAGACATCCTCGCAGGAAATGGTGCTTCACAGATACCAGTTCCTGTGTTATCATGGCCAGCATGCTCCATTATCTGATTGCCAGTCAGCACTGGGGACTTCACTAATGCACTAGTGAGAAAATCTGATACAAATTTGAAATGTGATCCTAATTTGAGGGTCATGTATTGGCTTTGGCAGCTAAGCAAAGCTGACTACAAATGAAGCTTAGAAAACAGCACCTTAGTTATATTTAAATAAATGATAGGTATTTGTTCAGTTGAACTCCACTATAACTGAAGCGAAACTGGCCACGTCTACACAAGACGTTTACTGCGCAGTAGCATCGCAGGGCACGAACCACGACACAATGCTACTCCCACAACAGTAACGAGCTACTGCAGAGTCAGCACGGCCAGGAAGCCGTGCAGGTATGTTACTGTGCAGTAACACTGATTACTGCACAGTCATTTAGTACTTGGGAATGCAAGTACTAAATGACTGCACAGTACCACCTGTGGTCAGCGTCTTGTGTAGACGCACCTACCGACTAGGATCCAAGGCTGTAAGAGTCCCCTGTTACTGCCTCCCTCCCACGTTTTAATTCACACACTGCCAGGGAGCACATGGTCTAGCTTTGTCAAGGGGAAAAGAAAATGTTCTCAACTGAGAACTGCTTTTTTTCTTTTTAAAAAAGAAAGAGAGAGAAAGAAAGCAGACACACACAGGTGATTTAATGGGAAGGAAACAGCTGGTATCTGATGCAATTCTTCCTCTTTTCTGGATGGAGGTTGATTTCTCAGTGTCGCTGAGTCACTAGCAAGTTCACGCCATGCAGTGCAGAAGCGCAGTCATGAGACCAGCTACTACATGGAACGCAGACAGCCTGGGCTGAGGAACCAGAGAAGCAGCGAGTACCGAACAGTGCTCAAATGTATACGTGAAATGCAACAAATTCACCGAGAACCAGAGGGAAGAGACATTTTACTGCAAGAACTTTATTGCACTGTGTCCAAGTGCTGAACCAGATATTGTGCCTGTTAGGCCCTGGTGGCAAATTAAGCCCTCTCCACACCCCCCAGGTCTACACTGTATGACAGCCTGTGCACTCATGTGCATTTAAATCACCTTTTCTCAATTCAGTTAAGGTTGCGGGGACAAAGTACAAGCTAACACAGTACATTATTATAAATCAAAAGAAAAGTGGAGGGAGGGGGGATGCAAAAAGTTATACATACAGCATGTAAAATATCTTTTTTTTTTTTTATTGTTCGTTAAAGGAATTTGGAATTTGGTTTTGCATCCAGTTGCCACACCTTTCCCTCTCATCCAACATGTGCCACCTGTCAAATTGGCTTTAGCTACAAATACCTCATTTGATTTAAAAAAAGACTTTAGTTTTTGCAGAAACAAAAATCCAGTTTGAGAACCATTAAAACCACAGTGTGTCATTGTGGGGGGAAGGGAAAGATAAATATTACATGCTCTCAGCATTATCAACTCTTCAGATACGTTGTTTCCCTAAAATATAGGTATTGGCGTCCCATACACTTTTTGTGCCCCTTTTACTCAGAAAGCAAAACAATCAAGTACATTTGACATTTTAAAGGGAAGAAAAAGCTTATTACTACTTGTCAAGTATAGTATCTCAGCCTTGGGGGCAGGGTGGTTGAGGGGGGTGGGGTTATAGTCATAAATCTACCTACCAAAAAACCATTTAAGAAAAAAAAAAAAAAAATCAGCTGGCAGATCCTGGAGTCGGGAGGTTTGAATAGTACCATCGTTTTTTGTTTCAACTTAAAAACCATTCTAGGAAATAATTTTAAAATCCATGACTTGCTTTCTGAAAAGTGTTTATGCAGTTCTTAGTCCCAAATCAAGACAGAACTCTGAATCAGGAAAATATCCTGTGTTGTAGGCAGTTCACGCAGCCAGCATCTGAGGTATCAGTAAAAAAGGGGTACCAGTCTACACCTGCTGGAACAGCTGCTGGGACAGACAAATGAAAGCCTTTGGTGCTGCACAGCAAAAGACCACAGGACAAGACGACCCTAAACCTGTATTCAGAGCCTCCCGCGGCTGAATATTACAAACACGATGTCAAATTGAAAGCATATGAGGTCGTTAATGTGTCAGGGCACTAAGTTGGCATTTTAATGTGTTTGGTAAAACCAGCCTTGCTAAACCTGCCTTGGAGGCAGCGCAACACTAGCTGTTGATTAGCCCACCGAAGACAGCAATGGCTCTACAAAAAGAGCGCTGCACTGGTGCAACAACTGAATGTTTCCAGCCCCTGCAGCCTAAAATCAGCATGTTTTCCCCACCCTGTAAGCGATGATGGTTTTTGCACATTAGCTATTGTTGGTGTGTAACCAGTGATGCTCTCTCAGGAGAGCCTAGTAAAGAAAAAAGAACAAGGCAATTGGTGGTTAAACTGAGCTGTACATGAAGGCCAGTCTGGGAAAATGTCCACACCTGGCATTTACTCACAAGACCAAAATACTGTGTATGTACTACTTGAGCCTCACATACAGTACAGACAAGACTCTTCAAGTCCTTGTTAACCGTGTTCATCAAGGCAGAGATAATCTGGACAATGACTGCAAATAGCCTTTTATGTTTCTTAGGGCAGACAAGTTATTTTAACTCCCTGCCTAAATTCTCCCTTAGTCAGCTAGGACACTTACGGATGCCTGAATCCTCCTGCACCAAGACATACACATATATATATTTTTTTTCCATCCAGGGAGCAAAAAGGAATCAGTTAACTTCTCAGCCACATTCTTTGGAGAAGTACAAGTTAGTCAGGCTCATACACACTCGCATGTGCACGCATACACACACGCACACATACACACACTGCATTCTTCTTAAAAATTTCCCCCCCCCCCCACCAATTAGAAAAGGCCTTTTAGCAGATTCACCAAAAGGTAGAGTCTTCAGTTAAAGAAAACTACCAAGAACATCCTGTCATCCGCAAAGTCTAAATGCTGCATGGACATACAACACAAACATCAACGCATTTCTAGGAGAGTGCCCAGGTGGGCTTAAGGCTGTCAGACTGCTCACATACAGCAACAAAGGCCCCTCCTTATTTCTGTCTGCCAGCTCGCAGCAAGGAAAAAAGATAAACCACTAAACAAAAAACAAAAAAAAAAAGGAAGTCCCGAAGGGAATTCATGTGCCAAGGGCTAACTATGGGACACTGTCCCCGAACCAAGAAAATGGTTTCTGCATAAGCCAATGCTCTGCTGGTTTTCCTTAGACATAAAATTTACTTTATTTCATTTGTTTTTAAAAAGTTAAAATACAGAAGGTTCAGAAACTAATTTTCTCCTGGCAGATGTTCACACTGCAGCTGGAGGAGAAAACAATCCTTCACTGAAATGTTTCTTTTTTTTGTTGTTAATTTTTTTTGGGGGGGGGGGGGGGGGGTTGGGTTTTTTTTTTTTTTTGGGGGGGGGGGGGGAGGTGTTGTGTTTTCTATATTTTTTTTAAATCACCACCACCATTACAACAGAGGCTGAGGAGCACTGACTCCACCACTAATTTGATGACAGTTTGATTCCAGATTCACATTTTCAGGTGCCAAGAGTCCAGAAAACAGCCATGATAACTTCAGCCTGTGTTTAATGTTTCTTTCTACTGAACACAGCAGTGACCGTTGGCATCTTTGAAGCGTAATCGCATCTTAGGTCGGTATTTCTCAAGGTAAAGCAGCTGTTTGGAATTGAAAGCTCCCCTCCTTTTCCTAAAACAAACAGAATGAAGGCTATATATCAATTGCAAGAGTATTGGTTTGGTTATTGTGTACATCTCAAAGTAGATTAGCTGTTCTGAGAACTGGAAAGCTTTTTCAAACCCACACAATCAACACCAGGCTTGCTTCTTTGTCCACTGCTGCCTCTAGGAAGGGTAAACCAGACCAGGCCATGGGATTGGGGATCTAGGCACCGGTGTTAGTCAGATCTGTGGCCATAAAATGCTTCCCCTCTTCACTGAACTGACTTTGGATCATGAGAGTTAGGCTTCTCTGGAGTCCACTGCTCTTTCATCACAAAGTTCACCCTCAGAAGATTCATATGATGCCCTGCATATATAATACTAGCTAAGTGAGGACATGTCAACCAGATACAAATATATGAAGGGTGCTAATAAAGAGAGGGATTTAGTATAAAATGAAAGGCATAATGGAGAGAAATGCAAAGGGGAAATTCAGAAGGCTCAAAACCCTGTTAACAGCAACATGGTTTGGGAGAGGGAAGGCAGACTTTTGGATTCCAACAGCCGCACGAACTGCCTTTTTGTGATATTGTTATGCAGCATCTTCCTACCTGCTGGGCTTCATATTAAGCTCTAGCATTATCACTAAAATAACAGGACTTTGCACTCTCTCCTCCAACCACCACTTTTGCTATTTTGCAGGTGGAATGGCTGCCAACATTTCCACACACAATGCCTTCATGAATCCCAATCTTTGAGCCCCTGCTGTAGATCATATTGTTTGGCCCATGAGCTGAAGGATATCATGCTGCTAGGGCACTCAGCCAGACTACATTTTCTTTTGATTCATTAGTAATTTATCAGTGTCCAGCCAAAGCAGGAATTTTATTAACTGATCCTGTAAATTCTCTTTTGTTAGCATTTTAACTTTGAGTCCAAGTGCTTTGGGTCACAAAGCAGTGACTTCATGCATAAGTGAAAGTAGACAGTTGGCTTTTTCCTTGGCTCTCCAAGCCCAGAAGGGTACAAAACCTGGCATTAACGTTGATATTGTGTCCAGCACTGGCAGGACACAGTTATGAGAAAACTATGAGAAATTTAACAAGCTTTGCTGCATGTGTGCTTTGCTCAAAGCAAATATAAAATTCCCTAGACAGACAGGGTGGGAGGGAGGGAGAAAGTGCTTGCGGGTTCGTTAATTATACTTACTGCCTTATAAATTGAACTGCATCCTCGTACTTCATTCCACATTCAATGAGAGCAAGTGCAACCAGGACAGGGGCCCTGTGGGATAAAAATCAATATTTATGTAAATAAGGCCTAGAAAAGCAATATATTGAACCCCTCAAAAAAGATCAAATTAGTCTATAAACAAACAGCTTAAGTAGCTTGTCTTTAACTCTTATCTAGAAAGACAGACATTTGCCTGCTGTGCATTTAATATAAAACTCCTTTCAGCAGACTGCTCTGCTTCCAGCACCAAAAATCAATGGCTTCTTAGTGTTTGGCATGAAACAGTACTGCCAGATTTTTATACTTCATCATTTCACTGTAGGATAATTTTGAACTCTGCCAATCACAAAGTTGTGGAGGACTTTGGCATGTTGAACTTTGCATTATATACCAGAGGTTCAGTTCCATATAGGCTGAAAAGATGAAGCACTTTTAAAATGACAACTTTGAAATCAGTTCCTTTTTGCTCTGAAGGGCTGAGGGGTAACGGAGTAATATTTTTCACCTTGACGTCACCATTTTGAATTTAGTCCAGTCAAATATAGGGAGCATGGGGATGGCATTTCAGGGAAGCTTTGTGAAATGAGGTCCTGGTCCCAGTTCGCTTCCTACTAGACAACTGCTCATAGCACCCAGTATAACTGCGTGATTTAGGCATTGGTGATGGCAAAGCAGTCAAAGATTAAACAGGTGTTGGCAACTGTACTGTGCCGATTAGCCCTTTGAGCTAATCAAGAACACAGATCAGCAACTCGGGCAGGCAGAGCAGCTTGCACTAGGCACTGCCGGCCTGCACCTGGATACAGAGAGGACTTTGGTTTTCATGGCTATCAGTTCGAAGCCTCACAAGCATTACATTTATTTTAAAATGGCACTAAAAAGATTGTATCTGAAATGTGACTTCCTATCACCATATACAGGCATGCAAACAGGGGCATCCTGTATGGTAACAGAGAGCAGGGTTTCACAAGACATCAGTGGATCCCATGGTGGCTGGCGCTGTGCATCTCTCCCTTGCAGTATAAGGGTATGGACTGACACACATAAGGAGCTTGTGTGGACAAGCCAGGAACAACACAAAGGTAGCAAAACCACACCAGCCTTAACACTGGCTGAGGCAGTGTTAAAGTTGGAGCTGTTTTTCTACATTTGTATGGCTCCGTAAGTATTGTATCATATTGTCCACAAATAACAAGTCAGAACGTACCAGCTGCCACCCTGCTCCCTTCTGAAATAGCTCCAAAATGTACATGTGGCCCATACCCTAAGAAAAACTGCTCCACATTAGTTCAAGCCTCAACATGAACCCATATTCTGTAAGGAGTATGTACAAAATACAGTGATAACAGCAGATGCCAAACTCCTGGCTTCCTTTGGCCTAATGTAATACAAGAAAAAAAAAAATCACTTGACTAAGTCACAACATGTGGCCACCTGATCAAAAAAATAAGTCACAGATAAATAAAAAAGAGTTAACTGCCCTGTTTTCACACTTGGGTTTTTTTCCCCTTCCAAAGGCATTCACATTGATGCAGAAACTCACTTCTGTACTTCCAAGTGAACCCTTTCTTTAAGGTGCTTCTAAATGGATTAAAAGAAAGACAAAAACAGAAAAGAAAAAACTTGCTTTTCTGTCCCCTAAAGCCTCAACCCAAGAGCTGACAAACTGTTCAAAGTAGTAGTTTAGGACCTGTGCATTAAACTAAAAGTGCTGATTTTTAGATATTTTGTATAACGGTATTTCAATCAATGCCCTTGAGCAGTTTGATAGCAAAAAAAAAAATCCAATCTTCTAAAACTCTTTATAGCATCTCTAACTCTCCCCAAAGCCAACAGAACAGTCATTCTGAATGTTCCCCCAGAACACAGAACTTGGTTTTACTCCATTTTCCACATATATAGTTAGAAGTACAAGAGGATTTTTTAGCAGAAAGATGCAGGGTATTTTTAACAAATGGATTCTCAAGCGTGGGGAGGGAAGGAACTGTAGTTGAATAATGCCACTGCATCAGGGGGGAGACAACAATTCTCCCAGTAAAATAAACCAACTGGAAAACTAAGCTAGCAGAAGGCTTACCTTCCCAGCCCTGCAACACAGTGCACAGCAACACAGCATCCAGGCTCTTCACGAAATTTGGTTTTCAATAGGTTTAGCCAGTCATCAACTATCTGATTTGGAGGTGGCGCTCCATCATCAAATGGCCAGTCCTTTGTGGAAAGAAAGCACAATAGTTCTTACTTTAAGGCATCAATGACGCAGTAATACGGACTGTTTCACTGATCCACCAACAGCTGTCCTAATTAGAAGGGGAAGATTTGATATCCATATATTACGCGGTTGCTATTAATGTACATAGAACTCAGGGTATAGCCTCAATACAGTAATACAATGCTAAATAAATTAAATCCACTTTATCAACCTTTTCAATTAAATGTTAGCGAAAATCAAATGACTAGACTTGTCTAGCAGCAATTACTGACTGAGTCCTCAGTTTTTGCATGGACCTGGCTGAAAAAGTAAACACTTGTCTTTTTAACATCTTTCTGAGCTTGTACTCATTAGACGAGTCAGTAGAAACTATAATTAAATCTATACGGACAATGAGGAGACTGTTGCTTAAAAATGCACCATTGCAAAATACAGTTTATGCTGCTGCTTCTATATGGACAAAGAAGTGCATCATACCTATTCCAGTGGAGCAGCCTGTCCAGCTGCAATGCATGGCATCTCAAGGGGAGAAGACAGTCATACCTATTTATTTACTGCTATTTCAAACACATACTCATAAGCAAAATACAGTACTTCAAAAAAGATAAAAGTAAATAATTGAGTGACATTTTCTGTCTTTTTCTCCTGCTCATGAAAAAGGTTGCCTAAGCCCTGCTGCATAATAGAGAGATGGCTGGAAGTTTAAATTACATGCAAAGAGGAAATGATTTTTCAAGACCTCCATTTTCCCTAGGCCATTATCCCTCTTGGAATCTGTGCTTTTGTGTAGAGTACTGAACATCCTAAAATTACTCCCTGAGACTGAATACAAGGCAGCATAGGTTTTATTCTCCTCTTAGAAACTGCCAGAGCTGTAGAAACAGCACAATTAGGTGTGTGGGGTGAAAATAATGCCTAGCTCTTCCATACCCCTTTCATCCATGGTTCTCAAAGTGTTTTAAAAGGAGACAAGGATCACAGGTGCCACATTATTCAAACAGCCCATCTCTCAAGTGATAAGGATCTGTCTTGAAAGCAGTCTAAGCTAGGAGAACAGCAGGCACTACCCAATACCTTGAGGGAAGACAGCATGAAGTGACAGTCCTTAAGACTCCTGGAGTCAGGAAAGGGCATGCAGAAGCCCTGGAGAAGAACAAGGAAACTACTGGGCTCTTAATTTTGAAATGCACTTAGTACTGCCCTGACATTTCCTGTACACCCTATTAGACAGGATGGCATGTTATCAGGGTAGAAGCTGTCATCTGCTTATCACGCTTCCATGAATAGCCTTGTAGTACCACTATTAAGACTGTCAGTATTTCAACTGTAAACCCCATTTTTCAAGGGTTAACAGCTGTAAAAATGTGCTCTGGGATAAAAAAAGTAATACAAAATACATCAGTTCACAAGCAACCTTCAAATATTGCAGTTTTGAAGCTACTAAGGTGCAAGTCAACTGTTGCTAGAGCCAGCAAAACTGAAGGCTTCATTTCTCAAACAATTCTGCAGGGAAGTAATCCAGAACACATGGCTACCTATCCTGAACCTCAAAGGTCCTGAGCGCTGCTTCTTAAATCCAGCTAGAACTGAAGGTACTTGGCACCCAGCAGGATTGGGCCTTTACTGATTAAAGAAATGCTGCAGAGGATCATGGAGGGAACTCCCTTGTACTTTCCCAGTTATCATCACTCCACATGTTTCTACCACACTTGCAGTACTATTTAATCCCAAAGAGACATATCAATCTCTCTGTTCATACAGGATCAGCCTTGTTCTTGGGAGCAAACTCACTGGTTCTCACAGAAACAGGAGCGACTCATTACTGAAAGTGTTGAAGAACAGAATTCATCCTTAATTCTTGATGTCCTTCCTTTGAGTTCATCTCAACTCCTTTCCACTGCTTAGGTTACTGTGTACGTGAAATTATTATTTTGATCCAGCCCGTTCACTTCATTTGTGATCATTTGATTCTATTACACATCTTTGTGCTTGTCTGAATTGTTCGGCACTCTCTGCAGATACGTCATGGCAGAGTATTGCACCAGTTGCCTCTATACATGGACGTTTTCCCGAGGTGCATTGTGGGATACCTACCAGAGACTATAGGAATTCTGAGCAGGGAAGGAGAGGAGTCCAACTCCTTTTCCAACATCCATTACTTTGAGGCATTGTCAGGCAGCACAGAAGACAAACTGCTGAGCACCATGATCACAAGTCAATACAAATTGGATGATACAGTTGCATTTAATACACATCCATCCAAATGCAGGGGATGGGTATGGCTCTCCAAGTGCCATCTTACTTTTGATACCACAGTAAAACAGCTAATAAAAGAGGAGGAGCAGGAGAATGATATTAAATACTGTTCAGAAGTAACTGGTTATCTGAAGCAGCTTTATTCAGGGAAGTGCTACTTCTGGGCTTGGTTAACTAACAATGACAAGTATGGAGGATAGCAATAAAAAACTGGGACAACTAGCAGTAGAAGCAGACCCCTGCCATGACTACGGAAAGCACATCTCACAAGGAAAGGCTTGAAGAACTAGAGTTATTTGGTCTGGCAAAGAAAAGACTGAGGCAGAATTTGACAACAGTTTTTAAATACCTCAAGCGCAATTATAAAGAGCAAAAAGAAGGGCTTTTCTCAGCAGCTCCGGGACAAGATTAGGAGCAAGGGACTCAAGCTGCATCAGAGGACATTTAAGTTGGGGATTAGGAGGAACTTTCTGACGATGAGGGTGGTCAAGCATTGCAACAGGCTACCTCAAAAAACTGTGGAATATCCATCCCTTGAAATATTCAACAGCAGGTTGGACAGACACTTAGGGTAGTTTAGTCAGGGATGATCCTGCACTGAGAAGAAAGCAGAACTAGATGACCTTGTGAGGTCCCTTCCAGCCCTACTTTCTTCATAGATTTCACAGACATTAGGGCTGGAAGGGACCTCGGAAGATCTTTGAGTCCAGCCCCCTGCCCCAGGGGCAGGAAGTCAGCTGGGGTCATAGGATCCCAGCAAGATAAGCATCCAAATGTCTCTCAAAGGCTTTCAAAGTAGGTGCTTGAACCATGGCCGGCAACAGTCTTTTCCAGACCTTGGGGGCTCGGACAGGAAAGAAGTTCTTCCTTATGTCCAGCCTGAAACAGTCATGGAGGAATTTGTGACCGTTTGATCTTGTCATCCCTTGGGGCGCTCTGGTGAACAGACGTTCCCCCAGATCCTGGTGAGCACCCCTCAAACTTACAGGGTTTTATAATATTATAATCCCCTTATAATCTTATGATTCTAGGTTTCTGGAACTGGTGCAGCGCTTTCCTGAGCTGCTGAACACCAAGAAAACACTCCTTAGCACAGATGTGTGTTGCCATCAGTATCTGGATGCTTGTTACTCCAACTACCAGTGGATAAATTCAAACTATTCGGGTACTGGTAGATCAACTGCTAGGCCTGTTGTCACAGCTAGTTGCAATGCTATGAAAAGCGCACTGCCAGACTACAAACTTGCCAAGACACGAGAATTTGCTGCTTGCTTCACTTAGATGTAGTACCCAAACTGTAGTGGGCTACTGATGGGATATGCCAGGCCAAAGATTAACAGAAAGGGGCATTTCTCCATGATGCTGCAGCACTTGATGGATTATTGTGGAAGAGTCACTGAAATGGATGAGAGAGAAGCTGGAGAGGTCTGCAATGCCAAAATGTTTAGAAACATACGCCTAATGGCTGGAATGAGCAATGGGGTATTTGCTTCCCATGGACATTAACAGCTTACGAGTCTTCCTGTTGTTCTAGAAGACCCATCTTACCTTCTGACTCTGCAGCTGATGAAACTTTTCAGGAAAAAAAGACAGATATGCTTTAACTTTACCTTGAAAAGTTATGGGCATCCATGGAGTATGCTCTCAGAAGACCAAAGGGTAGACAACAGCACCTTACAAAAGGATTGGATGTTTTTCGTCCTTGTGTGCTTTGTGATAAACAGCTGCTCTATTTAGCATGCCATTTGGGTGCAGAGGAGAGATCCCAGTGGATGGCTGGGACAGGAAATGGGGCTTTCTGAATTGTCAGAGATGATGGTCCTGCAAAATGTCCTTACTAGTGAAGAAAGAGTCAGGAATGTATTGTGCACCTCATTTAAGTTTGGGGATCAAGGTCACACTCAGGAAAGGTGTGATACCACCTCTCTTTATGCAGGCCATGGTAGAAAAAATGAAAACAAGAAATTAAAAGAACAACAGATTGGGGGGTGGGTGAGAATCACAAGGTTTGTCTTCCTCCCCCATCCGATTGGCAAGGACTGTGGAAGTCTCTACTTTCCTCCACTACCCTGAAGCATGTTCTTGACTTTATTTTCAAAAAGTGCTCTGTGGCTGTGGTGCATGCATGTGAAGGGCTAGAGAAGATGGCTTCTAGTACTCGCTGAAAATGCAGGGGATTGGAGCTGAAGGCCTTGGAGGCACCTTCCAGTCGTGTGTTTTAAATTCTTATTGCACCATATCAGCGCAAGGGTTTCTTTCCAGTAGCTCTGGAATGTCATTTCCATCTTCTCACTCTGGGCCCCTCCAGAGATGGTAAGATTTTCTCTAGATTACTTCTCCTTCCATGCTTTTGCAGCAAAGGAAGGGAGGTTGACTGGCCATGCTCGTTTTAGATCAGTGGTGAGATAATGATTACATCTTCATGCCTGTGGGCTGGCCTTGGGCTTGGGGATGTTACTGCAAGGAGAGTTCCCTGGAGACGCAAATAGGTCTTGCTCAAGACAACAATAGGCAAATCAGGAAGATCTAATGACCGGTATTTTGCAAATCGCAGCCCTTCACAACTGGGAAAGCAACAGGCATACCAAAATGGAGTGCAATTTTTGTCTCAAGCTCTCTTCTGACAGTGACAGACCAGCAAAAAACATCATAATGCAGGATGAATTGTTGCGGTAATTATTTTAAAGCTGTATCTTAAAAATTGCCAAGCATTTTTCACATCTGTAGCCAGTTTGAGTCACTTTCCCCATAAAGGCTCAGCTTTCCTAAAGGCAGAGCACATTACTGAAACAATGAGCTAGTTTTTCATTGTTGTTTCAGTGACTTCTGTCCTGTATCTGCCACTAAAACAAGCATGCATGCCAAGTAACATACTTGATTTTAAAAGCTGCGGTGCCAGTATCTTAATGGAGGAGGCGGGGAGGAAGGGAGGTGAATGGACGTGATGGTGGATGATACAGGTAGGAGATGGGTATAGGATCTGATAAAGCTATTAAAGTAAGTGTCTTGTGTGGATGCCATTTTGAGTACAATGGAAAAGACAGAGGGGTTAAGTGCTGTTTCAAGAAAAGCTCTTCACTTTGCCCAACATGGGGTTGAGCTGTTGGTTCATAGAAAAAACCACTTTATATTCTTCTATGGTACAGCACATAATACTCAGACAGAGAGCTCCTTGCATGGCATTTTCAGGCTGGCAGATCTCCTCTACCATGGTTTCAATATGGCCAGCTACCATGAGATTCATATGTACAACCTGAAAGATTTGGATATTGAAGTTCTGGGCTGCCCTGAGAGCTCTCTTCCTGGTTGGAACCCATGGCATACATGGGGTCGTGGGCACTTAAAAGTGCTCCTTGTATTGTCTTTGAAGCTTTGAGAACAGCTTGTTTCACACATAGTTCTCTTGCCCATTGGTGGCACCGAACCATTACTAGAAGTTCTGGTCTCCTACCATCAGGTACTTCTGGTAGGAATAGTTTGCTTTGACTTAGCATTGCTTTCATTTGCGCCAACAGAAGCTTGTCACTGGGATACCTACATTACAGTGACTACTCCATATGGAACCAAACATATAGCTCTTTGGAGGCAATCAAATCCAGTACCTCTTAAAGGGTCTGTGCCTATACAGTAGGTAAATCCACTACTACCAAGCATCTGAAAGGGGAGCTTTCTGGCTGTCCACCAACAGTTAAATCCAGGAAATGTGATTCTGGAGCAAGGTACAAAGACAGCTGATCCAGGTATGCAACACTGCTCTGCAGGGTTGGTTGGCATCCTTTTGTCTATGAGACTGGATATTGCAGCCTGTGACCTGTTTACAGCATCTCATGTGACTGAATAGTCCAATCCAAGATCTGCCTGATCTGTGGCAGTGGTTGCAAGTACTTGTATGTGCCATGGTTGGGAGGTTTGGGAGCTGCTTGCATCCTACACACTCTTTTCTGTTCAAGCCGTTGGAGCCAGTTCCTGTTGTGGACGTTGACACCTTGGTGGAGATGATGATGCCATCTGTTCCGATCACTTGCCAAGGTTTCCCATTGGTCAGGATCAATTTCAAATCTGGTCTTCATATCTGGCTCGCATGAGTCTTTTAGCAAAGCTTGGGACGTCCTGTTGTAGTTTGGAACATCCTGAGGGCAAGGTACAAATACAGCATGACCCAGGTATGCAACACTACTCTGTGGGGCAGTAGTTAGAGAATGGCCAGAATCCAAAGAGCTACAGATGTGTGCACATGAATCTGAAAATGAACACGCTTGCCCTGGAGTTGGGTTATTTCTGTTCCAAGAGGAATTATTTAGCATAATTTAAGATGCCAAATAATTCATCTCAAAAACTGAGGATGCATGGCTGAAAGGTATTCTAAGCAACTAACTAGTATGAATAGGGATGGTACCTTGGAATAATAAGACCCTTACAAACCATCTAAGACCATGAAAATCTGGTATGAACCCCAAAGATAGTATTATCTATACCAGCCTCCTATTGTCTAATCTCTTGGTTACGTGAACTTGGTTTGAACTAGTAGGACTAGTAAGCAAGGCACATTAATTCTGCAATTCCCCTGTATTCTCACTATGGCACCTGTCAAGGTAACTTCCACATCCCACCCACCCTGCTGTCCTGACTAGTATTTTATCCCGTATCATAAAATGAAAGACTTTGCTAAAATTCTCTCCATTTCAGGGGTTTCACTATGCTTTTGCCCTCAGCAGGTTTCAAACAAAAGATGCTAAGCTCCATCAGGCTGCATTTTTAATCTTCATTATTCTGTAAACAAATATTAGCTTTAAATAGCAATGTGTCTCATTTTCTCAGCCACCTGGTAACTCAGCCCCATTTCTCAGTGGTGACAGCAGCTTCTTTTCAGAAAGTATTTCAAGAGGAAGTGGGGGAAGCTGGGTAGAGAGGTCACACTACTGACTAGCCAAGCTCACTTTCAAATTCCAAAACACCACAGCAATATACTAAGTTATGAAGACACCATCATAACTGGGATCATCTGGATCAGGCATGACATTAGCAGCAAATCTTTTCTTTCATGTCCTGTTTTGTTACCCTTGCCAGATGTCTAGTGGATTTTTTCCCTATGCCCTTTTTCTTTCATATAACAACAGCATGCTAGGAGCAATTAATGCATATTGAATGCGCAGAGAAAGTCCTGGTACAGACGGCTGTCTTTGGAAATACTGGATCTTCCATCCTGGTGACCTTCAAGAAACTTCTTGACACCCATCTTGCTAGGGTCATCTGATCCCAGCAGTCTTCCTGCCCAAGTGCAAGAGGGCTGGACCTGATGATCTGTAAGGTCCCCACAGCCCCTAACAACTATAAAACTACGGATGCCCAAAACCAAGGTAGTCTACTTGTCAGTACTGTCCTAGAACCACAAACCCTGACCAAACTATGCATGGGTAACCTCCAGCCAAAGATGCTCAGGACAATCATCAGAGGAACGCGGTCTCCAATTCTCTGCAAATTCATGCACCAGATGCTCCAGGAAAGAAGCTTCCAAGCTGCATGATATGCCCTCCAATCCTGTATGGAGTGTAAATCTCTACATTATACCTCTCCAATTAAAATAAACAGTACAGGAGACCTTGTCAGAAATTTCAAGAATGACGATGCAGTGTAGAAGTTATCCAACAAATGTAAGTTCCACCAAATTTGCTGAACACTCTTTAAAATTGCTAGCGTCTCTGGCCACGAAGATGTGAGAGCCCACAGAAAGCAGAGTAGCTACAATGGGTAGCCAATGTGCATATATTAAATCTTTATTTTTCAGCCTGCTACAACTATTCATAACACCGACTAGAAAACCACTGCCTTCAATCTCCATATGGGCACAGAGCTAATGAAAAAACACATCTACCAATGCTAGATACTACTATCTTTGTGTCTCTAACTTTTAGCCAGAGTTATGGAATTATACCTGCTGAATAAGGGAGAGCAGAAGCCAGTAGCTTCACTGAATTTATCACCGTGACCACTAATGTCTTGCAACAAGTCGGATCCCTCACATCATTGTTGTTTTGTGCTAGTACAAATCTACAGCATGAAATACAGCCATATGTTAAACCATGACTGCCTGGAGTTTATGTCTGAAATTCATTTCAAATGTCAGCTTAGCAATATGGCTGGTTTTTAAATCTCATTAGTACCCATACAAAACTGACATAAGAAATGAAAGATCTCTTTTATGCAAAACAAATAACCCGTCTGTGCATCTTAACCACGTTTGGAAGGTCCTATTTTTAGAAGGCAGAACCAAGTTCAATCTTCCTTCCGAGGCAATGCCACTTATTATATGGGTGCTGGTTCCATGAACAAGACAGACACCTAAATCACATCACAATTGCTTGCTACCTGGTTCATCCCAACCAATCTGCCAGTTCTAAAGTGAACCAGACTCAAATCAGTAACCAAGTGAACAAAGCATTTCCCAAAGCACCCAGACCTCTAAGAACAGGAACTTCTAACTAGGGCAACTAGTTGTAGCAACAAAACCCAAATACCTCCTCTGATGCATTTCAAAGTTAAAAAAGAATCTACTGAACAAAAAAAATCTCAAGGTGAACTCCCCATTGATCCAGAAGACAGACTGCCGTTGGTCATCCTGGAAGAAGCTATGTTATTATCAGGCACAAGCATGAATGCCAAGCAACACTGAGAAATCAGATCTATATCTAATGATTTTTCAGTTTAGAAAGAATTTTAAAAGAGACTCACTAGAACCTGGATTCCTTCTTTTTCGACGGGAGCTTGATCATACGTGGCATCACAAACTCGCACCAAGGTTGTCACTCCATATTTCTTAAGCTCCTTTAAGAATAAAGAAAACGTGTGAATATGCTGCCGGAAGAAAAAAATTAAAGCCTTTTCTCAATAGTTACAAAGCCAAACACATACACTAGTCTGAAACCATGATATTGCAATTGCTCTGCAGTTCCAAGGAGACTAGATAATTGAGGAGTGAGGACCAATTTGAAAAGACAGTGTCTCATCCATTGTACAACTGGGACAATGTGGTCTTGACAATGATATATGGCCAAAGATTAAAAGTGTGGTGGTAAATGTGAAATCTATCTGGCACTCCCCCGAGGGACAAGGTGAGTGTGGAAGAACTGCCTCAAAGTCAAGCATATGCTATAGCACAATTAAAATAGCTACTTATGCCCTACACATAGATTCTGCTTTTTCTCTTTAAATAGAAACATAAAGCTGTTTGCCTCAGCCACTGTTGACATTTTGAGGCAAGGAGGAACAGAACACACACGGAGCCATACTCTTGCTTCCTTGTAATACACTATAAGTAGCACATTGTGCTAGATAAATAATCAGAAGATCACACAAAAGCTGCACCAGCTCACTTTGAAAGTTCAGGCAGCAAGCAGAATTTCCTCCAGTGTTTAGACTGTGAAATCCTCTACAACTTTATTTCTAGCTATAACGCATTGCCTATTTCAGACTCTGGGGCTCCTGGACAAAAGAGAAATATAATCCATAACACTTAGATGAAAAAAATTAAAGTTGATGGCAGAATCAGGATTTCAGGCCAAATTAACCATTAGCATCTGAGCAGACTGTTGGCAGAGAAGTTAAACAGATAGCAGCAGTCAGAACCAGATAAAGGATCTTAGCGAAATGAACGAAATGGTATTTTTTCAAATAAAAGGTGCACTTTTAAAAATGGCCTGCATCTTATAGCAAAAAGCTCGTATATGTACCATAACGCAGAGGTTCCCAACCTCTGAGCCGCAAAGGGTTGGCGGCAGGATCATGCCACAAGCCCCCCGCTCAGCACCCCCATCTGTCCGCCCAAGTGAGCGGCTTCCACTGCCGGAAGTCACAGCCCCAGGAGGGAGGCAACCGGCTTCATGCGCCCTGGCCCACTCCTGTCCCAGTCCACAGAAAAAAAAAAAAAAAAAGGACTGAGACAGGTTCCTTGA